GAATAGGTGGAAATATGGGTTGTAGGTGACAAATGAAATATGGGTTGCAGGTAACAAATGATATGTGAATTGTAGGTACTAAATGAAATACAGGTGGCAGGTAACAACTGAAAAACGGCGTTGCTTTTCTTTTTTAAGGAAAGCAAAAAGCACGTGCGAGAGAAGGAAATTAGGACCCGTCTGGTGCCAAAGGTTGAAGGCAAATGATTAGTTACAGCCAAGCACGTTTGTGTTGACCCAGTGTCTCTCACAGGTAGTGAAGTTATGACTGGGGCCCCACTGGAGTGGAAGGATGAAAAAACATCACTAATGCTCCTTAAATTTCTATTTCGTTTATATTTTTATTATGCTGGGGAGCAGAGGCCTTGTAGATACAAGAAGAATAAGGGTGAGGAAGCAATGAAAACCTCGCAGACTAAGGACAGTGAGTAGTTGGAAGCAGGAGATTTGCTTCTCCTGGGTTCCCCTGGGCAAGTGGAGTGAATCCAGCAGAGGCCACAGAGATGGCAACCTGTGCTGACCCTGGAGGTAGCCAGACAGTCTCCAAAGTTCCCTCAGGATTATGCTGTGAGGGACAGCGCAAGGACACCCTAAGGAGGAGTATCAAGAGCTCTCTGTTCCCTGTGGATCCCTCAGTGGCATGTGTGGACCTTTTGGCTGGGGAGGCTCTGAACCCACCTCCCCAAGGGAAAAGGCAAGTGTGGAGGACGAGAGTGTTCATGGTGTGTCGCCATCTGTGCCCTCCCTGACCCCTCATCTGCCTCTTTTCAGAAACACGAGTTCTTTGTGGACATGACCTGTGAAGGCTGCTCCAAGGCGGTCACCCGTGTCCTGGACAGGCTGGGAGGTGAGTCAGTGCTGGGTGTGGTGTGGGACAGCCAGCTCTCTAGAGCAACACCAGCTCCAGAGCAGGATGGCAGTGCCCTGGGATCCTCCATCGTGAAGAGGAATGCCATGGGTAAAAGCTGGAAGTTGGAAACTTCTGCCCGCTCTGCTCTGGGCCTCCTCCTTAGTCAGTAACTAGTCACTGGTTGGTTGCAGGTCTATGTGACCCTTGGAGAAATGTCAAGGGAGGAAGGAGCTGTCATGGCTGCAGGTGGCTCTGAATCACCAGGGCCCTACCCTGAACCCTCTGGGAAGGACACTGGTAGACCCCTTCTCGGGCTGCCAGAAGGAAGGGAGGTGGATGTCCTGCCTGGCGTTGTTTCCAAGGAGGCCTGGGGTATCTGTGATGCTTCCCTAGATGTGTCATCAGCAAGTCACAGTGAAGAGCTGCTGAGCAGAGTGTTTGGTGGTTGTCTGTATAGCCTGTTTTTAATACCACCTGGAAAATTATAACCCATGTCTCCTGTATGCTGGCATTTCCAAGAGAGAAAGATTTAGGCTGCACTCACTGTTTGTGAGGACTTGCTCCCCTCCAAGGGAGAACAGCTTTCAGTCACCAAGGCAAAGGCCTTGCAAGTTCTTCCAGACCCCATTACCAGCCTGTGGCAATCTCACCTTGTCCGTGTGTGGTTGTCACCACCTCCATCACTCTTCAACATGCTGGGCAATATCAGCCTCATGTGATGTAGTGGCAGAGCTCTCAAAGCTGATACATACCTACAAGTTTTGTGAAAATAAGTGACTAGATAGAGACCTCCTGTCCATTTGTTTTCAATGGGCTGAGAAGGCTCACCCTTATTAGCCACTGGGAAATCCACGTGGGAAAATGCCTTTTCCTTCCTTCTACTTAGAGCTGTTAGGAACCCCCACCACTGAGGAAACCTGTCCTGATCCTGTCTTAACTGTGCCCATGCTAAACCACAGCACAGGCTGAGCTGGGTGGAGATTGTAGTGGTTGGTTTAAATTCAGTTTTATTCTGGTTACTGCATGAGTGCTTGTGTTGGTCCAAGGTGGGGTGAGCAGATTAAAGCAGTTGAGAAGCCATGGTGCCCAGTGCAGAGTTATAGCAGATCTGGCTCCCTTTGTACCGTTGCTGGCAGGACACCAGTTTCATTTTGCTGTCTGGTGGTGGTATCAGGGTTTGCTGGCAGGAGATAAATGTCCATTTGACTGATGGCCTGGGGAGCACAGATATGAAGCTGAGCTTTCCCTGTGTTCACACCATTTGGCTGCTTCTAGCTGTGCAAAACTTTCTTTCCTCATAGGTGTCCAGTTTGATATTGACCTGCCCAACAAGAAGGTGTTCATCGACTCGGAGCACAACGTTGACACCCTGTTGGAAACCCTGAAGAAGACTGGAAAGAACACTTCCTACCTCGGGGAGAAGTCTGCACAGTAGCCTTGCCTGGTGTGAGGAGGTTAGGCATATACCAGGTGTATCCAATGTGGAAGAGAGAGAGCTGAGCTTTTTCCAGCTCTCCCAGTAAACAGGCTTCTTCCTGGGAAACACAAATGAAAAACGACCTGCAGATCCAGCTTCAGCAAACCCCTCATACCAGAGAAGCAGCTGGACCACACACAGCCAGCACCATTTCTGTGTGGGACCCCCTTAGCTACACTGCAAAGCCCATCTGTAGTGGAGAGGTAGAACACGGCCTCTCTGCCATCTCCAGGTGAACCTGGAGTTTTGCCAGAGCATATCATGCATGAAAACAAATCCCAAAGATGTTCAACAGCTGACCAGAGAGAGTGGTGGGCCCCAACAATAGCAGGGAGAGTGATGGGACACAAAGAGCCCTGTGGCTATGTGGTGTGGTGGGTTGGTGCTTAGCACAAGGACCTCCAACAGCTGATTCTCCCGATAACGCTGTTAATCCTCCACTAAACTCAGGGATGGAAAAACAGCAGCACCCTGGCACCCTCATGGATGTAAAATGTTGGGGTTTGAATAGCTCCCAGTGCACAAAGCCCCTGGCCAGCTGGACGTCTGTCCCAGTGACAACCTGATTGTTGCAGCCTGTCAGTTTTCCCAGAGTTCCAGTGCTATGAGGACGTGTACAAAACTCTCCTGACTGTAAAATATTTTTGCAGACAAGGTTTAATTTCAGTGAAAGAGAATAAAGTGGGAGGAGGGGGGCTGCCCACTCACTGCATGTGCTGTTCTTTAGTGTGCAAGGTTATTAAATTGCATCTCTTAAGAGCTTGTTTCTGTCAGTGGAGCTTTCTGATCCAATGACATTTTTTAAATAGTCTGGTTGGATCATCACAAATACCCAGCACAGATGCGCTGAAACCAGTTCATGCTGATTTAATTCCCAGTCAGTAAATTAAATCAGGGATTTACACCAGCAGGAATTAAACTGATAAAAGAAAGAGTTGAGCTGGTAGTGATGTGTGTGCAATAGATCTGCATTGTTTTAATAGAGTGACTTGACAGATGTAAAATCTGCAGTTTGTTTCATTTGAGTAGGCTCTCAGTGCTTCATAGAAATTGTTTAAAATCATAGCTCTAATCAAATAACATCTCCACTTAGAGAGAAACATGCTCTGAATTGATTAGTGCCTCAAATAGTTTTCAGCTTGTGGTATTGACTGCAAGGGGTTTTTTAACTTGCAGGGACTTGTGGATTATGTCTCAAGTGCCTGAAGAATTTAACTATTACAGGAAAGCCAGTCTCAAATAATGTGAATGTGTCCCTTTTCCTGGCCCAGTTTTCTCACCATTTTCCTTACATTACATCAAGGCAGCCAGGGAGTCGGTTTGGCTGACCAGCCTGGCAGAACTTTTGTTTTCCTGTTGCATTTTAACTGACTTAGAAGCTCTTTGACTTACCCAAGGACTGTAAGATCCAAAACAAAGGAGAGGGGTGGCTGAACAGCCCTTGCAAGTAGTTTGCTGCTAAATCACTTCAGCAGTCGGGGGGAAAAAAACAGTACTTTAAATTTTACACACCACATTTCCCTCCATAGAGAATATTTTTAGGGGCTAATCTATAAAAGGAGGGAGGGAAGTTGCAAATCCTTGGCGTAGATCTCTGGTGGATGAATTTCTCTTGGCTTGTGACCGGCAGAGGGCATCTCTGTATAAGGTTGTCTCCCCTCTGGGCCTTGGTATTTTTCCCATTTATTTATTTATTTATTTGTGTATTTATTTATTTTGCAGGAACTCAAACATGGCTTCAGCAAAAAGATGGCTTAACTGTTTGCATGTCTCCCAGCTTGCTGTGTCATTTGACCTGTGCCAGATGTCAGAAAGCAGAAGGCTGGCAGGAGGAGGCAGCTGCATCTTGGGCTTTAGAAATCCAGAGGAGGAGGTTATGTTTTCTTTCTAGTCCCACAGTAAATTGAGGCACTGCTTTTAACTTTCAGTGCATGTCTGTGTGTCTTGTGTGTCTTTGTACTGCTTTGAATGGTTTTCTGTAAAAGAGGTGGCTTTTAGGGATGGGAAACTACCCATTACATGCAAGACAGGTCTCCCAGGAAATTGCACCTATCCTTAGAAGCTGACTGCAACCTCTGCCTGAGGGACATGTCTCAGGAGAACTGTGTTTGAATGTCACTCAGATGCTGAGGATCTGTGTCTTAGCAGTTGTTTTTTCCTCACAGAACAGACAAACTTTCCATTTGGGATGCAAGTTCTGGGAAGAAGGGACTCTGGTAGCCCCTGTAAATCAAGGATAACCACGTGGCCTTTTGAGCTCAATGGGGCCATGAGGCACAAAGTGTGCAGAAGAGTGCCTGAGCTGATGGGAAATACAGAAGGGATGGAGGAAGGAGAAGGGTGTGGGAATCTCCAAGGTTCCTTATTTCCTGGCCCAGTGACCACTGTTCTGTGCTGTACTGTTGCTTCCTTTTAATTCAGGTTTTCAGCCCAGTGACAGCATTGCATGCCTGTCCCACTCTGCTGTCTCGTTTCACCTGGGAGGTGTCTCCCATGCCTACCTGTCATATGGGACTTGTTCTACAGAAAGGAAAACCAACCAAAGTTTGGAGGAGAAGTTTATATTTAGAGATATTTCACACTTGTACGTTAAGGTTACTTTTGACATACTTGCCCTTTATTCTTTCCTAGAGTGGTGTACTGCTTCAAAGTCCCCCTTTACCTTTGATCTAGAGCATGATTAATTGGTGTAGATGCACTTGCAGGGAGCTGGAGAGAGACACATCAAGGAATGTGTTGCAGACACTTTTTATTACTTTTTAATTTAAGGGAAGCTAAAGGCTACAGTGTAACATCACTGCATTATTTTCTTGCATTAAAATCTCCCAGTGGCAAGAAATTTCCAGAGCCAAGGCCCAGAACCACAACCTATTTCTGCTTTGTGCCTGTGCACTCAGATGCCCAGCAGGACCCGTCCAGGGTCCCAGGGAGCGAGTGAACCCCTTTCCCTAGCCCACCCTTGCTGCTCTGAGCTGATGTTTGCCAATCTTGGTTATCATTTATTGCTTTCAGCTTCCTCCCAGGCATGGCTGTTGCTTTGGCATGGAGCTGGATGGCACGTGGTGGCATGGCTGGCCTTGGAGCCAGTAGTCCTTGTGGCCTTTGCTGTCTGCCAGACTGGCAGTGCCCACAGAGGATGACTCCAGTCTGTCTTGCTGTAAACCAGGCTGCTCCTCCTTGATGTCTGGGCTGCAGCCCGTGCTACCCACACTCCCCTCGCTGCTCTGCTCCCCTCTCCCTGCTCTGTTTTGGTTAAAACCTGCTTATCTCTGAGCCAGACAAGGAAAGATTTCTACCCACAGCCATCCAGAAGCTTCATGCAGATACCTGAAGTGTGTGTGCAGGGTTTGCAGGCTTTCATACCTGATGGCTCATGGCATTTGATGTCCTTCTCCTCACTCCCTGTTCCAGAGCAGAGGGATCAGGAGTGACAAGTCTGCATAGGCCACCTCTCTGTGGTGCCATACCCTGAGGATGCTGATGGGAACAAACCACTGGGAAGGCACCAAGGGTTCCCCTGAGCTCTGCCTCATCCTTCCTTCGGTGGGCCTAGTCTCATTGCATCCCCCTTCCTTTCCCCTGGCCCTGTGGAGAAGGGAAGGGAGCTGCTAGGGGTTCTTCTCCAGCCTCCAGAGGAGAGAAGCACTGTGATGGTCACTAACCCCAGCACTCTGGGCATGTTCAGTGAAAGTACCAAAGAACCAGAACAATTCCTGTTAGAACAGGGCTGGAGGATGACTCCCAAGCTGCTCCTTGTTTTCTCCACCACGACCCCAGCAGGACAGCATCCTGTGTGCTCCCCCATCAACCTTGCAGGCTTATCTGGTGACCAGGGCATTGCAGCCAGAGCAGGCAATCTGCAGAACACTTTTTCTGCTTGTTTCCTTTTTCTCTGGATAAGATAAGGCGTTTGGGGAAGATGACCTGGTCCTGCCTCCAGGAGAGTGAGTGCAGGAGGCTCTGCAGCAGCACTCCTGGAGCAGTGGCTCTGCAGGAGCACAGGATCCTCCCAAAAGGCCACTTCTCCCACGAGCATGCAGCCAGAGCTGAGTAATGACACCCTGGGACAGTTCTTGCTTTGGGGTGTGGGCTGTGCTTGGGCTGACTACAGCTGGGATAGGGGAGTTAGGGAAGGATGATTAAGTCTGAATGGAGCAGCAGACCTTGTGGGGTGGCTGGCTGAGAGGCTTATGGAGAAGCTCTGAGAGAAAAAACAACTTCATAGACTAAAAGGGTAAGAGAAGTCAGTACCTATGCAGAGTCTCTTTGTTCCACCATTGACCGACTTCAAGATCTTCAAAATCTTCGTTGATCAGGTTGGCCTGAAGTTGGCTGCATGTCATGGGAAGAGACCCCAACAAGCCCACAAAGATAATGTCACAATATTTTCCACAGGAAACAATATATGAGACACTGAGGCTGTGAGGCTGTTTTCAGACAAGGAAATGCTCAGTTTGCAATGCAAACAGGAAAGGGTGGCACTTGGAAAAGGAGCTTTCCTGTACCACAGACACCTTGGCTCTGCAGGACAACCCAGTGACCTGCTGGAAGAGGGATGTGTCAGTGGGATGAGCAGCTGGTGAGGTCTGTGGTGCATTGCCATGCATGAATATGTCCTCCCAGCAGCAGGGAGACTTCTGGTTTCTTCACTTCTTTTTTGGTTTTTTTTCCAATTTTTTTCTTCACTTCTGGTTTCTTCACAAGGTTTCAGTCCAGCTCCAGCTCAACTGTGAGAATCCATGAACTGCCTGTAGCTGCAGCACCAGTAAGATCTGGGCAAACCCAGAGGGATGGGCTTTGAAAGTTCTTTTGTTTCCTCTGCCTCAAAATTATCTTTGCATTCCTACCCCCCTTCTCCCCCTCTGCCCCATGGTGTTTCCAGCAGATGTTTGCTTTTCTCACCCACCCCGCTGTGTTTGCAGCATTGCCCTTCTTGTGCTTCTGGGTGTCATTTTTTTACCCAGTGTTACCTTACCCCACTTTTCAAACCAAAATCTGATTTCAGTGGAAAAGCCTACAGCCTCCAAAGCCCAGTCCTTTATCCACGAAAGAAAAAGCTGCCCGTGGTTATCCCAGGGCTGTCTTAAGCACCACTGGCTTTTTGGCGCTTTCTAATTACGTGATGACAGGCAGGGGATGGTTTTAGCCAAAGGAGCAGTTGTACTCAGTCGAACCACCCAGTAAATGAGAGAATTTCCAAAATAGCACCGCAGGCTGCAGAAAGCAGAGAAGGGACTGGAGATCCCCCTCAGTGCCTGCAAATGGTGATCCCCGATGGCTTTGGAGAGTTAAATTGCTGAGAAATTTCAGGGTGGCAAAGAAGGGTTCAGTTTGCAACAGTCTCAGGAATTCCACAGGCGTGTTGTGTCTGGGTGTTAAAACTGTTACACGGAGGATTCATTACCAAAGGATGGGGATTTTCTAGTCTTACTGTGCTTTTAAATGTTTGCTGTAAGAAAATCCACCTCGGGCTTCCACCTTCTCTTGCCTGCCTGTTCCCAGCCCAGGCACGGCAGTGGCAGAGCTGGGACCTGGATGAGCACCATGACTGATGTTTGACTTGCAGGCAGGATTATACCCCCATGCTTCTGGGGTCATTAGCAACACTGGCCTGACCAGCTGCTCTTTGAGCTAAAGCTGTGCAGCTGAACCTGGAGGTTGCACTGGGCTGGGGGTTTGTAGCCATGAGCATCACCTGAAGTGAATGTGCTCCGAACTAAACGTGCTGCTCTTGAATCTCTTCAGTAAGGTCTGCAAGGCCCAGTCTGCCTTGTCCTGAGGCCACAGCTGAGCTGAGGCCACTCTGTGCTGAGTGATGTGCAGAGCTGTCCCAATGCTGTACTGTGACAAACAGAGCAATGCCAAAGGCCCTGGCTGGTTCCCACTCCCCTGTGAATACATGCAGACTTCCTGTGTGACCACCACAGGCAGCTTTCCACATTGCAGTTTCCAAAACAGCAAAACACAGGGACCTGACACACTCCCCTCCAAAACAGCAAAACACACGAGGTTCTGACACACTCCCCTCAAACACAGCAAAACACATGGGCTTCTGACACACTCCCCCTCCAAGACTGTGGCAGCATAAATAGAAAAAAAACCCCACCAAACCAACCAAACAAAAAACAGGCTTAATTAAGGACTTCAAGAGCAGGAAATGTGCACACGTGTGCTTGCCAGAGCACAAATATTTTCTTTTGGAGCTGCTTTCTCCAAGGGTTCAGTAAGGTGATCAAGGCTGGGTTACAGAGCGAGGGTAGCAAACAGTTCCCAGCCCCTCCGGAAGGCAGCGGCCACAGGGCACTGCTGTTCTGCATCCTTCCCCGTGCTCCAGCCTTTGGCTTTAGCCTCCCACAGTATATACTGAAGCTATTCAACCATTTGGCTAAAAGCAGATGGGGAGGGAGAGAAAACAAAGTCAGATGAGAGGGAGAAAGGCAGCTTTTGTGCTGCCTCTGTTTGCAAAAGACAGCCCAAGCCCCTTTTGGACTAAGGTTTAATTTACTGGACTCTGGAGAGCTGAGATTCACAGCCCCACAGCTGCTACAGGTGGTGGCACGTTAGGGCAGTGAGAGGGAGTGGGTGGGGAGCCAGCTCTCATTGGTGAGCAGCTCCCTCAGAGGAGCTGTGGGACATGCAGGACACAATGCAGGGTCCCCGGCTGCTCTGGGGAGAGCAGATCTGCTCTGTGACTCTTCTGCTACATGGACCTGTCCCAGGTCACCTGGAAGGGACAAGGGAAACCGGTCTGTGTAGACAGGAGCCTTCAGCCTGGCCCTTCCTGCTATTGTCCCTCTGCTCATCATGTCTGTTCCTGAGCACCTTCGGAAAGACTTCTGGGTGCTGCACAGCTGGGTTCACGTTTCCTGTTCCCCAGTCCAGACCAGTGGGTTGCTGTGCTGTCACTGGGAGAGAGATGCTGCAGCA